CCTCTGACCCTCTTCCCTCTCGTGCTCTCTGTCTCTCATTCTCTCTCTCAAATAAATAAATAAAATCTTTAAAAAAAAAAAAAAATAAGTGCTTCCATACATAGAGTGCTTACCCTGTGGCAGTTACTGTGCTAAAACTTGACACATATAGTTTCAGTTCTCACCATAAGTCTTTGAAGTTGTCCTCATTTTGTAAAAAAGAAAACTGATAGCATTTACGTTATTCGTTTAAGATTGCATTGCTAGTAAAATGGCAAAGTCAGAATTTAAGCCCAGGACTGTCTGCTGTCAAAGTGTGCTATAATACTGCTCCTAGTCATTTCTCTCTCTCATATATACAAAGTTCTAATTTTATATGCATAGCACTATGTTATATACTATGAATATACAAAGATGAGCTTGCCACCTTTAGGAGGAGACCATGTCCTGAAAGATATGATTGCTGGGAGTATAGGCACGTAAGCAATGTGAATGCCTGAAGAAAAAGTAAAACCACTGTTTAAGATTAGTGCTGATATCTTTATATAAAGAGTTTTTGCCTTTCGAGATTCAAAAAAAAAAAAAGGTACCAGAGGATAAGCAGACTAAATAAATAAATAGTTTTAAAAAGCAACACTTAAAACCATACAAATCAGAGTACAACAAATCAGAAATCAGGGATTATTGACTGTAAATACTAACAGGGCCAAGTTTCTGTTCACCATTATATTCTCTGAGTCTAGAACAGAGTCTGGCACACAGTAGACACTCTAGGTATTTGTTTAATGAGTAAAACAACATGAAAAAAATGTTCAACCCTACTTGTAATTAGGAAATTCAGTTAAATGAGATAACAGTTTTAAATGATCAATTAATTACCAAGCTACATCCTCCCACTACCCCCAGAGAGAAAGAGAAAGAGGGGGGGACAGGGGGAGGCAAAGGTAGAAAGAAGTATAATGCAGGAGGAGGGTACAATGAAATAGTCAAGCATATATTTCTGGTAGGAGTATAAATGGTTTCATTCTTCTCAGAAAGCAATTCTGTAATTTAAAATAGCTTTGAAAAAATTTATAAACGTTGACCTAGCCACTTCTACTTCTGGAATCTATACTGACAAAGTAATCCTGAATATGTAAAATATCTTGCATGAAAATATCCATAAAATTATATATAACACAAAAATTTGGAAAGAATCTAATATCCAAGATTACTAAATGGTTAAGTAAATCCTGGCAAATCTCTTTAATGAACTTTCATTAAAATTTTTGTTAATGTATATGAAATAATATGGAAAAATTTTGAGTTCAATGAGAAAAAGCAGTATATAAAATATGTGCATCTAGAATAGTATGAAAGTCTACATAGAAAAAAAAAAAAACTAGAAGGAAACCTATCCACCATGCTGGGTATTTGGGTAGTGGATTATCAGGTGATATTTTTTTCTCTTTTATCTTCTAAAGTTTCTTTAAAAAATAATAGGTATAAAAAATAAAAAATAATAGGTATATAAAAGGCATAAAATTTCTCTTATTTGGAACTGTGATTAGTAGGTGAATACTGGATTGCTATTAAATCACTTACGTATATCTTAATCTTCTTTTACTATTTCAGTATAAAAGGTCTTTTTAGTTGCAAAAGAAAAATTCATTTTTGACTGGTGTTAGAATATTTATATTTTGTTTTCTGAATTTCAGTTAATTTTTGCTTTCTGTTTCCCACTCCCATAATTTTAGATTTAATTCAAGACTGGTCTAGTGATAGTGCTCCAGACATTTTTTCATTTGTGCCATATACATGGAATTTTAAAATCATGTTTCATCAATTTGAAATGATTTGGGCTGCTAATCAACACAATTGGATTGACTGTTCCACTAAACAACAGGAAAATGGTAAGAACTTCTTAAAAATTAGGTTAAGTATTCTGTTCATTAAGACAAATAACAATGGAAATTGATGTTGATTTTGTAGTTTTAATAGATACTAGATGTGATCTTTTTTCCATTGTCTTATAATACTCTCAGAGAACTACTTTAGAGTTTTTATTGGACTAAGCATATTATCTTTCATTTTCTTAGGTATGTATTTAAGGCAATTTTTAAAGTTTTATTGAAGTTAAAAATAAATTTTCTCTTTTTTCCTCTTGTAGTATATCTGGCAGCCTGTGGGGAAACATTAAACATTGATTTCTCTTTGCCTTTTACGGACTTTGTTCCAGCTACGTGTAACACCAAGTTCGCTTTAAGAGTACGTATAATTGGGTGCCTGGGTGGCTCAGTCGGTTAAGTGTCTGCCTTCGGCTCAGGTCACGATCTCAGGGTTCTGGGATCGAGCTCCACATCGGGCTCCTTCTCAGCAGGGAGCCTGCTTCTTCTCTCCCTCTCCCTTTCCCCCCTGCTCATTCTCTCTCTCTCTCTCTCTCAAATAAATAAAATCTTAAAAAAAAAAAAGTATAATTGCGTGCATTCTTTATTCCACAGGTTTATTAGTGTGATTCCCCAAAGCTTATCTCTACTTTTCCCTGCCTATCCTACTGCCATCCTGCAGTATTTTAGCTCTCCACCATTGTTCCTGCGCTTCGGTGTCACACAAATGCTGCTGTTTTTTTTTTTTTTTTGTGGTTAATAGTAATGTTCTGTCACTCCCCTAAGTTCCCCAACTTCCCCTGAGGAGTTTTGGCAATAAAAAGAAAATTCCCTGAGCTGATTATTTTCTTAACCAGCTCATTTCTAACCTTTGTGGCTAACTTACATGTTCTTTTGAAAAACCCCTTCTAACTCTAATGTTTAACAGTGGATGAACTAGATTTTGTACTTTCCTTTATTTTGTTACTAATTGTAAACATGAATTCAAGGGACAGCCACAAATACCTCTCTTCCTTTTCTCTGAAAGGCAGCTCTCATGAGTTCAAAATTTTGTGGAATACCTAATTTTAGGGTATGAGCAATCAGATGTAGTTGTAGTATTGATGGAGGTTATGGTGGTAAAAAATAGCAACAATAAGAGCTGCTAATACCTATTAAACATGTTCTGTGTGCCATTCACTATTCCAAGTGCTTTATGTGTATTAGCTCATTTCATTCTCAGAGCAGTTTGCTTGAGGTAGTTGTTATCTGCATTTATGAAATAGGAAACTGAGAAGCTGAGTTTATATAACTTATGTGATTGGTGAGTGGCTGAATTGGAATTTGAACCCAAGTGGTATAGGTTAGGCCTTCATTCTCTTAACCACTCTACTATGCTGCCTGTTAAGAAATCAGGCATCACGGCACCCCAATGTTTATAGCATTATCAACAATAACCAAATTACAAAGAGCCCAAATGTCCATTGACTGATAAATGGGTAAAGAGGTTGTGGTCTATATACACAATGGAATATTACTCGGCCATCAAAAAGAATGAAATCTTGCCATTTGCCACGAAGTGGATAGAGCTAGAGTGTATTATGCTAAGTGAAATAAGTCAGAGAAAGACAAATACCATATGATTTCACTCATATGTGGAATTTAAGAATACAGATGAACACCGGGAAAAAAGAGATGCAAACCCTAAAATAGACTAATTATAGAGAACTGAGGGTTGCTGGAAAGTTGGTGGAGAGGGGGACGGGCTAAATGGGTGATGGGTATTAAGGTTAAGGGCATTTGTGATGAGCACTGGGTGTTACATGTAAGTGATGAATCACTAAATTCTACTCCTGAAACTAATATTACACTGTATGTTAACTAACTGGAATTTAAATAAAAACTTGAAACAAAATAAAATTCATATTATATGTAAATATGTAAAATTTTACAATATGTAAAATTACATATTGTAATACATATTACATATTGTAATATGTATTGTATTATATATTGTAATAATTACAATTACATATTGTAATAATACAATCTAAAAAAAATATCAGGCATCATGAGGAACAAGATTAGGGCACCAACCTATAAGGAAAAAAGTGAAGCCAAATGAAAATGTATCAATTCAGAATTCTTAAAAACCAGTTGATAATCCAAGACTTACCAGAATCAAAAAAATTAGTAGGGGCGCCTCAGTGGTGTAGTCAGCTTAGTGTTTGACTCTTGGTTTAGGCTTAGTTGTGGTCTCAGGGTCTTGAGATCCAGCCCCGCATTGGGCTCCATGCTCAGCAGAGTCTCCTTGAGTTTCTCTCTCCCTCTCCCTCTGCTCCTACCCCCGCGCTCTTTCTCTCTCTCTCTCAAATAAATCTTTTAAAAAATTAATAAAATGCAGAATATATTCCACCTGAACTTATTATCAGTAAGATGATTTCTAATTTATTTATTTATTTATTTATTAAAGATTTTATTTATTTATTTGAGAGAGAGAGAGAGCATGAGCAGAGGGAAAGGAGGAGGAACAGAGGGAGAGAGAAACTCAAGCAGACTCTGCTGAGCACAGAGCCTAACACAGGGCTCGATCGCACAACCTGAGATCATGACCTGAGCTGAAGGTAAACACTTAATCAACTGAGCCACCTAGGTGTTCCTCAGTGAGATGATTTTTAATTGTTTTTTTTACTGAGTTACATGTGAAATACCCATGAATACCCATAGAAGATAATCTTTTTACTGTTTTGTGGAAACTATGTTTTTTATTTCCTTAATTTTTTTTCTTAACTTTCTAATCAGAATTTAGTTTTAGTCAATGTAAAATCTTATTCCAGTTATTTAACTGACTGTTGATTATAAAATCTGCCTTTTGAAATTTGTTTATTTTCTTTTGAATTTATTCTCAAGATTATTATAGATAAGTTTGGCTGGAAATAGAAACCTAACATATTTATGTTCCTGTTTTTTTACTTTGGGTTATTATGAATTATTTTTTAGGGAGAAGATGTTGATCTTCATTTATTTCTACCAGATTGCCACCCTAGTAAATATTCATTATTTATGCTGGTAAAGAATTGCCACCCAAATAAAATTACTCATGATACTGGCATTCCTGCTGAGTGTCAAAGTGGTCAGAAAACAGTTAAACCAAAATGGCGGAATATTACACAAGAAAAGTGAGTATATAAAATTAGTGATTTAAATATTTTGTGTTTATATGTGGGGAAGATTCTTCTGATTCTTTCAAAGAATAAAGATAAAAGTTGACTATTTGTAATTGGTGTTTGTATACAATTAAATAAATTAAGTAACTGACCAGAATTTTATTTTTTATTCTTCAAAGAGCTGGTTGGGTTGAATGCTGGACTGTCCCAAGTGTCATGCTTACAATCGATTATACATGGCATCCAATTTATCCACAAAAAGCGGATGAGCAGCTAAAACAATCATGTAAGTGTTTTTATATAATTTGTACTTTGAAACATCTGGTTTTATGATTGATAATCATTAAAAGTATAAGAAAAAATTTTTTTAAATTTGGAAATGTATCTATTCATTTGATGTATTTGTATACATTTAAAAATCTTTTAAGGATTTTTGGCATAATTACAACTAACTTTCATTGAGCATTTACTGTGTATCAAATACTAGACCAAGCTGTTTACTGGTTTACATTATCTCATTTAGTCCTTACAACAACTCTGTGAGATAAATGTTGTTATTGTACATTTGAACAAATATGTTCAGAGTAAGTAAATAATTTTTTTCAAGTTCTGCCAAGCTAGAAACAGAAGAACTAGAATATCAAATAAGGTGTATGTGAATATGAATATATATATATTTAAAGCACTTGGTTTCATGAACTGTTAGTTTTTTTAATGCATTTTCACAGCTATCATATCATGTTTCCCTGAAGCTTATGTACCTTATTACCAGGGTCCAAAATGAAATTAGAGTCAAGTGATATTTTCTTTGTATTTTTCTAGTGAGTTAAGTGTTAAAGAATAGTTTTCATAATTGTTCTTGTGTTTGGAGCTTGATAATGTCACACTGTATTTGAATAGCTGTTTATGTGAAAACAACTTTGTACTTTAATGCCCAAGTATAGATAAAACCTAACTGTGGGGGCCCCTGGGTGGCTCAGTCGTTAAGCGCCTGCCTTCGGCTCAGGTCATGATTCCAGGGTCCTGGGATCGAGCCGAGCCCCGTATCGGGCTCCCTGCTCCGCGGGAAGCCTGCTTCTCCCTCTCCCACTCCCCCTGCTTGTGTTCCCTCTCTAGCTGTCTCTCTCTCTGTCAAATAAATAAATAAAATCTTTAAAAAAAAAAAAAAACCTAACTGTGACCTGAATTTATATTGCAGGGACTTTAGAATGTTAATAGGAAATTTTCATTGATTCTATACCATCTAATTTATGTATTTCTACACATATTTCAATGAAGTCTGTTTTATTTCACATTCTTAATTATTAGTCTTGCAAGTCTGTTTTCATTATATACTACAGATACTGTATCAGAGATAGTTGCTTTCATGAAAAATTACAAAATAGAATTTCTTAGTGAATGCTTCCTTAAAGAACTTCTGAGAAATTCCCCACCACAATTTTTTTTTCCTTAATTTTTTTCAGTATCAGAAATGGAAGAAACAATGCTCTCTGTATTAAGGCCATCCCAGAAAACATCAGACAGAGTTGTTTCTACTCCTTCTACTTCTTCACGCCCACCTATTGATCCCTCTGAACTTCCACCTGATAAACTTCATGTAGAAATGGAACTTTCCCCAGATTCTCAAATAACTCTCTATGGACCACTATTAAATGCCTTCTTATGTATAAAGGTATGATTTTTAAAAGATCTTACACATTTTTAAACATAGGCAAAATAGTTGATATCCAATTGAAATTGAGACCTTTTGAAATAGCCAGTTCGGTGGTTTAAAGTTGTTGAAGATATATATGTTGACACAGCGAAAGAAGTACAAGAGAACCTTGTCATCTGAGAATAATGAAATAAAACCAGGAAGAGTTGACTTCAAATGAATTCAGTAAAAACAGAAAACTTTATTTCATGCTAAATAATAAGCAAAGATTTGTTTGGAGCACTGTCTTAAAACCTGAAGCAAATATATGAAAATAAGTTTATTTCAGAATATGACAAATTTAGGTTCTAAAAAGTATGCCTTCTTTGAATAAAGATCAAATCAAGTGTTGATTCATTTTAGTATAATTTTTCCATTGAAATTGTATGACTGCATAGAATGATAGCTCTTGAAGGTTGATCAAGCATGATCAGGAAGAGAGGCTATTTTAAGAAAAATATGTGAGTACTTTGTAAGTTTTCTACACATCACTTTTATTTTTTTGGTATTCAATTCATACTTTAAAAAAGTCACCCCAGCAAGTCATCAATAACTCTTATTGATTTACTCTTTTTTATAGGTAACCACTCTAAGCCTTCCAGATCCTCACTTATCACTGATACCTTTCTCTGTGATTTGAGTGGTTATCCAACATCACTTTTAGCAACTTCATGAAATGTTGCATTTTTCCAGGTTTTTGCTAATTCATTTTGCTTCAGATTTTCATCATACTGTTGGATGCTTTACTACATCTGATAAACAAAGTGAGATTAATTGTCTAAACATTAACAGTCATGAGCAGTAGAGTTACTTGTGGGATAGGTTTTTGTGTGAGTCTAATTTTGTCAGTGTTTACTTATTTGCTTCCTTTTGTAATTTCACAACTGTGGAGGTTTGGATATTGAATGCTTAGGTAATAGGCAATCCCATAATGTACAGTGACAGGAGTAATTAATTCTGGAAAGGGTCTAGGATGATCAGGGTTGATTAAGGAAAGACAGTCAAGGTTTGTTGAGAAAGGTTTTCTGGAAGAAGTGCTAGCTGAACAGGTTTTTATAATTATAAAAAATTTTTATATTTGATTTACTGTCTTATATTTACTATAAACTACCATAAAGCATCAGATGATATAATTTAAGATAAAAGATGCAAGGGACATTGTATTTAATATTTGTGGAAATCTAAAGTTTTGGTTTGGTTTTAGGAGAGATTCCTAAAGGAGTGATTCTTCAGATATTCAAAGGGGAGAAATACATACACAAACATACACATACACACAAATTTTTTTTTTCTTTCTTGTGACCGTTGTTTGACGTAAAGTATTCTTCAGATATTTCTCCCAGTATCTAATTTTCTTGGGATTGCTTGTGAATAACTATAAAGGATTTAAAATGCAATTTTCAAGTTATAATTTCCCTGAAGAGGCTGAACTGTATTTTAATTTAAATGTAAGTAATGATTTAGTTAGCAAATGAGGGTGGTTATATTGATATAGTACCATTTTTGAATACTACTAAAGAGATGTTATCACTGTTTTTTTGCATTACTGTATGTATACTGAACCTCAATTTTTTCTTTTAAAAATTCCATAATAATACATATTTGTCAAAATTAAGAGGACTATAACAGAGAAGAATAAAGAGAAAGGAGTAAATGCCTTTTTTTTGAGGTTTCTTTACACATTCTCCATAAATGTAACCTCTCTTGATAGTTTGTTTCGGTGCAGTCTCTTCCATGCTTTAAGATTTTATAACAGCTGTTTAGTAGTGTCGGAGGTCTGTTGTACTAAAGTTTGTTTTTTTTAATATTTTATTTATTTTTTGACAGAGAGAGGGAACACAAACAGGGGGAACAGGAGAGGGAGAAGCAGGCTTCCCGCCAAGCAGGGAGCCCGATGAAGGGGGTCCTGGGATTATGACCTGAGCCGAAGGCAGACATTTAATGACTGAGCCACCCGGGCGCCACTAAAGTTTTTATTAGTATTTGCATTCATCGAATTAACATAGAACTTGTATGTTCTACTAAACAAATTAAAATTTTACTAAAGCAAATTAAAATTTTTAAAGTTTTAAAATATGTACCTAAAACATGACAAACAAAAAATTTTCTAGGCCAATTTTCTAGGCCAATGAACTCTATGGTTCCTTTTATTAGGAATATAAGTAACTCGTCTTTTTTTTTCTTCTTTTTTTCTTTTTGCCTACTGCCTACTAGAAAGCTTAGTGTCATGCTAACATGGAGATGTATTCTATCTTAAATCTCTCTCTTTCAATTACTTTTTTTCATTTATTTTAATATATAACTATGTTCTACTTAGTGTTAGAATGTATGTATGTATATATAAAAGAAAACAAAGAGAATGTGAAAATTCATGTAACCGAGATTGTATTTTCCTTATTTACTAGAATTAAACATCAAGAAATTCTGAAGGATAGACTAGAAAAAAAAAATCATATTTCTTTGACCGTTTATAAAAAAATGATTTCCAGGGCTCCTGGGTGGCTCAGTCATTAAGCGTCTGCCTTTGGCTCAGATCATGATCCCAGGGTCCTGGGATCGAGCCCCACATCGAACTCCCTGCTTAGCAGGAAGCCTGTTTCTCCCTCTCCCACTCCCCCTGCTTGTGTTCCCTCTCTCGCTGTGTCTCTCTCTGTCAAATAAATAAATAAAATCTTTAAAAAAAAAAAAGACAGATTTCCAGGGCTCCTGGGTGGCTCAGTTGGTTAAGTGGCTGCCTTCAGCTCGGGTCATGATCCCGGGGTCCTGGGATCGAGTCCCACATTGGGCTCCCTGCTTGGCAGGGAGCCTGCTTCTCCCTCTCCTCACTGCTCGTGCTCTCTCTCACTGTCTCTGTCTCTGTCACAATAAATAATAACTAAAATCTTTAAAAAAAAAAACCGATTTCTAAAATGCACAAGAGAAACTAGGGTTACCATTATTATTACCAGGAACTCTGAGAAGAATATATACTAACATGCATTAAAATTTGTGAGAATATTTTATGGAAATGTTTACATCTTCTGAATTGACTTCTCTTGGTCTTATTACATTTTTTCTTAATGGAAGAAGGGAAATCTGAATCTAAATAGTGATAGCATGTCAGTGGTAGACAGTAGTAACTGTGGGGTTAAGGGTGGGTATATATGGCATATATGCTTTCCTTATTAGAAAAAAGCACTTTTAATAGTCTTCAACAGAAGCCTGGCTAAGTTTCCATTAAAAAATTTAATATTGGAAACAAACTACCTGTAGGTTGTTTTTTTTCCCCCTGCTTCTCTGAATTTATTAGCTGTCTTCTTTTAACTCTAGTGATAATTCTTTTTCCTCTTTTTTGAGAAATGAGTATCATTGCATAAGTAGGCTGGGGAAAAAAATGGTAATGTCCTGTTACTTGAAGTAGTTACTTGACACACATAATAAAATATCTTTAGGAAAATAAAATTTCATAGAGCTCTTAAGTAGATTGAAAATACATCTTGTTTTATCATTTTTAAATTCATTCATGCTGCAAACTTGACAAAAGAACACATTTTTTTCAGTTATATAAGTTATTGCTTTTTTCTAAGGTTGTTTGGAATTTGTTTTAGAGATAGTTCAATTTTGCATACTACCTACCTTAACATGGAACTGGAACTTTTATTTGTATTTGTAAATATTTGTGTACATTTATTAATCTTAAAATACCATATGTTTGCCATAGTATATTACTACTTACCTTATACTTTGGTCAACCTTTTGGTAATTTTTTTTAGTGAATCCTTAAGAAATTAACCTTTACAGATGGAGTTCACATACTAAAGAAACAAAGCAAAACTAAAACAAGCACATGCAAAACTTAAATCTCACACTCCGCATCAAACATTTAATGTGAGGCTAATGTTTTAAGGGAGTTATCATTTTAAAAGTACATTTTGTTGATAATATTCAATATGTACTGATATGATAACTCATAAAAGACTCCTAGAGTTTTATAACTCTTTAAAAACAGTCATTGACACATTTAATAAAAATTAGCAAATGTTCTCTACTATGTTGGGGATTCAGTATTCCCTAAAGAATTTGCTATGAGTTATTCCTGTTTCAGATAATTAAGTGAGATTGTTTTGGTAGCAAATTGAACATTAGGCCCAAGAGAATATTTTTCTTTTGATTTTAATAATCTACATGAATCTCTTCTGTTTTTAAGGTTAAAAATGGCAAGAGACTGTAAGAGACTTATAAGGAATCTTTTAAAAATAAGAGATTTAGGGGCGCCTGCGTGGCTCAGTCATTAAGCGTCTGCCTCCAGCTCAGGTCACGATCCCAGAGTCCTGGGATCAAGCCCCACATCGGGCTCCCTGCTCTGCGGGAAGCCTGCTTCTCCCTCTCCCACTCCCCCTGCTTGTGTTCCCTCTCTC